ACTGGCCCTGTTATACAAAACGATTTTATGAATAACGATTTATGCGTAATGATCGTATGTATAACAAATTATGCATAAATAACGAAAATAATAAATAGCAAATAACTAAATAAATAAATAAATAAAAATTTATACTAAGAAAAATAACTTAGTAGTGGCCATATGTAGTATATGAGATTATATGATTACTGAAATGTTATATGCAAAAATACTATTCTGTTACACTTCCCTTCCTTCAAAAATGCAAGGTCCTCCGAGCATAATTAACCAGTAATTATGAAATTCTAAACTTCTATATAAAAAATAAAATAAAAATAAACTAATTCTATTCAGAGGTTTTAGATTCCTTGGTGTATCTGTAACCAGAAACAGGGATTTTAAACAGGATAACCCCACAACCAAAAAAAAACTTAGGGGTTTTAAACAGGATGACCCCACAACCAAAAAACTTAGGGTTTTAAACGGATGACCTTACAACCAAAAACTTATCCATGGCTAACCTATAGCCAACACACGTAGGTTTTATTCCTCATCAGACTAGGCTTTATCATTACACTTTACAAATATGTATATATACAAAAAAACAAGTCTGAAAAAAAAAACTAAATAAAAAAATAATAATTTGTCTAATCTAAACATGTCTAAAAAAAAATACTGTTTAAATAATTTGTTAAAAATTACTTAAAAAAAAAAATATCTAATGTCTAAAAAAAAAAATTTTTTTTTTTTTAAAACTTTACATTCGAATTTTGAAGTAAGTACTTACTATTTCTGTATTTATTTGACTACTTATTCATTTATTCTTAGGGCTTCTTATCTTGAGGCCTTTCTTTATTATCAACTCTTTTGGGTTCGGTTCGATGCTCCGAACATATAAGAGGTATTTCTTTGTCTTTTCGTTCTAACGTTGATGTCACCCACATGATCGTCGATTATCGATTGATTGATGATCTACTAACTCGATCTATTTGATCCCCTTTTTAGTTTCGTGCTTTTCACCTTTTAAACTTAACCTTTTTCATTTTATTTCTTAATCCATTTATTTTCTCTTTTTCTTTTCCAGCCCCTTCTTAGTCTTTTCGGCTTTTACGTTTGTTTATACGTCATTTCAAGTTTTCTTTCGGTGATTTCTTCAGCCCTGGCTTTACAAAGACCCTTTCACAATGAATGGACTTCAAGATCTTTTACTATTACTAATCTTGGACCCAAGGTGTTGGTGAGGTCTTTTGGTAAAGTCTAGTTTCTATGCTAGTTTTGTCCATATTCTAGTTTCTCTAGTTCTTCCATTTTGTCCTTTAACCAGTTTCTGTATGTCCTTATTATTTTTAACCAGGTTATACGTATATAAAGTTGCCAGGTAAATTCTTGAGCAAGGGCTCTTCAAGCTAGGTAGCAAGTGCTGTACCCATATCATTTTCGCTAACAAAGGCTGCAGCGGAATGCTTGTTTAGATTTGAATTTATACAATGTTTAGCTAATTTAACATAGCAATCGGAAGTTTCAGGATATGATCTGTAATAGATATTCATCACGAGACTAATTCACCGTCAAAAGTTCTCTGTCTGATTGATATTTTTGCCAAGATGACTTCAAGGCTATAAATATCAGCAGCTTGTATAATATAAGGGTTCTTAGTCCTTTTTTTCTTAGAATCCAACATTTTTTTTTCCAGTATAGAAAAAAAATTCTAAAGCATGATATTGTTTGATCTTTTAATTTTGGTTTTCTGCTTTTTCTTTTAAAGGGACCATGCGAGGCTGAGGTGTCTATTGAGTTGGTGTATCCTTTTTAGTTACGTGCTCTGCGGTTTTTTTTTTTTTTTTTTTTTTTTGAGAATTATTAACCTCTTTCAAGGGCCAACATATAAAGTTGCATTTGAATTTTCTAACTTCGCTGCTTTCATATAATATTCAAAAGCCTTCTTTTCTTAATGCCATTACCATATTGGTAATTGAAACCAATATTTTTAATCGCAGAACTTCGGAATCTAGAGTTCGCCGGGGCCCTCTTTTACAGCAACAAGGAGCCTTGTGATTCGGGTAGGTGCCAGGAATTGGTTTGAAATTATTTTTCTTTGAGGTCTATATTTGCCAACTTACATTCTTCTGGCCATTGCTTTGACATGTATAGGTTCTAGTATTACTTTGTTCCGAGTTAATCTTTGTTTTGCTTTTCTTGTAGCCTTCGAATTTTTTATACCGGGCTTGGTCATAGATTGCCGGATCTACTTGGAAAGTATGAATTTCTTTGACTTTGAGTATAAGGCGGAAGTGTCTATAAAATAGGCGTATCCTTTTACATTATATGACTCGGGAGTTTTTTTTTCATTTTTATCTTACTAATTGTTTTTTTTAAGGTTAGGGCTAAATGATTAATCATGGAACATTTTAGATGAATATAGAGCATTGAAATTTTGACTATACTATTGCGAACAAAAAGCATGTGTGAAATCGGATGTAGGGTGCGGGACTTTTAGAAACGGGTATATCCTTTTTACAATATAGTCTTTATTTTGTGTTTTCATTATTGTTTTTATCGTACTAATGTTTACTCTTAAGATTAGGATACTAGGCAAAAGGTATGAGACATGAGAATACTAGGTAAAACGTGATGCATGAATTGGGGTATTGGTATGGAAATGGGTAAGGTATAGACTAGTTCTATCTTATAAGGCATAGCCCTCTTCAAATCAAATTTCTTCAATTAGGCAACCTGGTCCTGTCATCGTCGCCAAATATAACTAAAATATTTAGTTTAGGGTTGGGTTTAGGTCTTTGTTAGAAGAAATATCAAGACGAAGAGGCTTTATTAGATAGTAGTTTAGAACATAATAATGGATCATGTCTCTTTAAAAGACCAATTTACATCTCTTTTATAATTCTTCTATAAATAACTACTATTCTAAATAAATCTTTAAACTATTTACTGGCCCTGTTATGCAAAACGATTTTATGCATAATGATTTATGCATAACGATCATATGCATAATGAATTATGTATAACGAATTTATGTATAATGAAAATAATAAATAGCAAATAACTAAATAAATAAATAAAGAAAAATCTATACTAAGAAAAATAACTTAGTAGTGGCCATATGTAGTACACGGGATTACGTAACCACCGCGATGTTATATGCAAAAATACTATTCTGTTACAGTATTGTTTATATATAGTCGTTAACACGTTTTCTAAAGATATCTCATCATCCACTGGGCTGATTTGGATGATTTAACTATCATTAGAACTGCAATGATGTGCTCTATATTTTTCAATTAATTGACTTTGTTGATTAACTTAGTATGAAAAAAGTTTTCTTGAATAAATATTAAAAATTTTCTACATTTACTCTATATTGGATTTATATAGTGATCTGCATCACATTACACTATGATCATGCATCTGTTGAATAGCGGATCATCAATTAATAAATAATGTTTTTCTGATCTATGACCACATTCGAATATCTTTTTAACCGAAAGTCTTGAACTAACTTTCTCAGTGTAGTGCCATATTCATAAGTAAATACATCACATGGTTGCATTTTACCGAGTTTGTTCAAATTTGAAAAGTAAACAATGTTGATCTTTTGAAGAAAATAGGCCAAATCCCTCACTTTTTGTAGAAATTTTAAAAAACCAATAGGAAAATGAGAAAAAGTAAGAAAGGAATTACTTGATCAAGTAAAAGGAATGTGGCTTTAAAAAAATGTATATTTTGTTGTTTTCTCTGTGTTTTTTTTTGAAGTAATAACCTAAAAGTTTCATCAACGAAGTTGGGCTTTGCCCACACTTCACCAAGATTTTTTATACAAGGATGCTATTTGCTATTTATTTTGTATAATAACACTTTTGACTTGCATGCCAAACATTCTATAAAAGAGTCCTGCTAGCAGAGTTAATCTCTAAACAAACCACTAAATAGGCCACAACTCTAACAAAAATTTAGTTTTTCTATTTAGTGAAAAATTTTGGTTCAAGTAATTATTGGAAAAAGTTTAAAATATTCAAGATTGTTAAAAACATCTCTAAACTTTAATAATTAATAAATTTATTTAAAAAATATATAATATATATATTTTTAGGTGCTAATAATATTTTACTTAAAAAATAATTTTTGTTCAAAATTGTTCAAGCATGGACAACTCCAGATTGAATAGATTAGGGTACAGTTTTTTATATAATAATCGGGGTTGGCACGGACCGGTCAATGGTCAAGCTTGACCAGACCAGTTTGACAATTTGACCAGTTGGTCAAAGGGTTTAGTATTGGTCAAATTGGTCAAAGGTTATTTAAATATATAGTATACATACGCATATATATTTTTATATTTATATTTACTTTGTATACTAAATTTATTTATTTAATAGACTAGGCCATTTGACCAGACTAGTTTGACCAACGAATTTTTGGTCGACCAGTGATTTGACCAACCCTGATAACTATATATATATTATACTTATCTATAGTCAATGAAAATTTTTAATTCTATAATTATAGGATTAAAGCAAAAAAATTTCCACCGGCTTTAGATAGATTGAGACTTAAGTGTTTTTGCTCAAAGTTGAAAATATATATATATAATATCGTTATTTAGGTTAGTGACTTTTTTTTACCATATGGTATATCTAATTAGGTCCTTAGATTATTACGGTACTCTATAAACAAAAATAGTTATATTAATCAATATATACTGCGCACAGATCTCTTTAAAATTTCACAAACCAGTAAATCATTATGCCCATTTATTAAAAAACAAAAAACAGGGTAATCATTTAACTGTTACTTCTATGCACTCGAGAAATCTTTAATTCTCTGTATAAAAAATAGAGACAATAAAATAAATGGCTATTTACATGTTAAAGTTATTATGTTAAAGGCAGTTGTGGACAAATAAAAAAAAACAATAATAATAAAATTTGTATTTCCACAAGTAATTAATATAAGAATTACTTCAGAATTAAAAGACGTCATCAAACTCATTATATCGATAATGCGCGTTAAGCGGTATTGATTAAAGAGACCATTATAGCTCTCTGTTCACTTTCTTCGCATGAAGAATATCCTTCAATCATTTGCCTTGGTGCCATTGTCGGACCACTACGCATTACTCGCGGTGAAATGCTTTTCAATTTATTCAGTTTATTCGTAAGTAGTTGTGAACCTGCGTGATAATCTTCAGTAGTGGTACCGTTCTTATCTAACTCTAGAGCTTCAGATGAAGGTTGTTTGGCATCATCTGGGATTACGATAGGGTTATTTGGATTAGCAGTATTATTTGTCAATATTTCTGCTGAAATATTTTGCGTGCCATCAACAGTGCGGTTAATACTATTGGAATTGGTTTGTTGCCTTTTATTCGATTGCTGTACATCTTGATCAACTGACGATTGACGTTTTTTTGCGGGGATTGATGAACTACCAGAAGTGCCTGAACTATCACTAACATGTCTCTGCGTTGTTGGAAGCTTCAAATCCGATGAATTTATGCGTGGCCTAATCAGACTGTCTACGTTTGGTTGAGGTTGTTGGGGGGGGAACAACAGGGTGAATATTCATTAATCCAGAAGTATCTTCAATGCCTCTTCTACGACTGTCCACGAAAACAAAATACTTTCGAAATTGTTGTAATAAATTTTCAACAAGGTCCAGTTTAAGTAGATATTTTCCAGAAGGTAGAGCGTTTAATTGATCTTCTATCATATATTTCATACCCAATAGGCGATATGTCCCTTGACTTGATCTTGTATAATGCCAAAAGTATGGCAATACTTCGTCAACTTTTTTGTACATCGGAGTCAATTCTTGTAATTTAATCCTTATCTGTCTTTTGTCTTCTTCAGAAAGGTCAATTTCGTGATATTGAATGTTCTTTTCTCTAGCTCTACTATCTATTTGACTTATCATAGCTAATGCTTCTTTCTCCTCCTTCTCGGTCAACGTTGCTAGTGATCCAGGTTGCGTTGTAGAATTGTTTATGATAGGCATCTGAGCATTGGGAACATTGGGACGCATAATTGGAAATTTCGGACGAACAGCGCTCATGTTAAGAGGTTGAGTCATTGAAGGTCTTGTCGCATTTGCAAACATAGCATTCTGAGCAGCCATCATTGCTGCTTTGGCTCCGTTAGAAGCAACTATTCCTTGATTAGCGGCATTATTACTATTAACAGCCAACATAATAGCATTTGCATTTGCTGCACTATTAGCTGTTGTATGCATTATTACATTTGGACGTCCAATAGTTGCATTCGCACCTTGAAAACCAGACATTAAACCGAGATTTTGAACCGTATTAATGCCAACGCCCGAAGGAACTTTAATTCCAAGATTAGGTGCAACGCTGGCATTTTGAACAGCCGAGCTTACGAGCTTGTTTTGAGGTATTTTGAGTTGTGGCGCTGCTAAGTTTGCTGTTGCTAAATTTGCTGCTGCCAATTTAGCTGAAGCGGAATTAGGAGACATATTTGGAGTTGTTTTATTTGACATTGTTACTGGTGAAGAATTTACTATCGCAGGAGACTGACTAGGCGTAGTTCCAAGTGAATTAGTTATAGAAGGACCTGCATTTGGCATCATGAACATAGTCCCAGGACTTTGAGACGGTGCTTGTCCTTTCATCGGATTAACAGGCGATTGAATCGTCACATTATTAGGCAACTTCATCGAAGGACCAGCGACATTAGAAACAGCTTGTGGGTTAACTTTCACAGGTGATTGTATAGTACCATCTTGTTGTTGAGCGGCTTGTTGTTGCTGTTGCTGCTGCTGCTGTTGCACCATCGCCATGTAGGCATTAATTCTTTTCAATACTTCTGGTGATAATTGCGTATCTGGAGGGATGCCCAAGTTGTTCAAAACTTGTTGTTGTAAAAGATTCGGTCGATGGGCTCCTGGTTGGGTCGGTTTTGGAGAAGATGGAACCTGAGATGCAGCTGGTCGAATGAAATTATTCGATTGTGCTTGTACAGCTGCAATTTGCTGAGGTGTCGCTTGCAATTGTTGTTGTGGTTGCTGAGATTGCCTCTGTAATTGTTGTTGTTGCATCCTTCGAATTTGATTTTGTTGTAAAGCAGGATTATTTTGTAACAATTGTTGATATATTTGTTGCTGCCTTGCTGTCTGTTGTGCATTAATTTGTTGTTGCTGCAACAGTTGAAATAATTGCTGTTGTTGCTGTGGTTGCTGCAATAATTGTTGTTGAACAGCCGCTGCGACCTGACGTTGCTGCTGTTGCAATAGGAATCTTTGGGCTTGCGCTTGCTGCTGTTGCTGTGGAGAAGGAACCTGTTGTTGCTGTTGTTGAAGTGTCTGTGTCAGAATTTGTTGCTGCAATTGTTGTGGTTGTGTATTTTGTAATTGTTGAGGTAGTAAAGTTTGTGCCTGTTGCGACTGTTGTTGAGCGACTTGAGATTGCTGCGATGGCGCAGCATTCCTTTGTGTCTGTTGTTGTTGCTGCCGTATCTGAGCGCTTCGTTGTATTTTATTAGTTAAATCTCGTAACTTTGCTCCAATCAACTGGTTGTATTCGTCCTTGGAATTTGCACTATTATAAGAGTCATTTTCCCACTGTTTCGATAGGTGAAATCTATATGTGGGAGGTTGATTAAGGAGCTCTAAGCCTTTATAAAGCCGGCCAACATTAATCTTCCTTTCGTCTTCGCTGAGAAGAAGTCGCCAATCAGTCGTTGCACCAGACATATTTATCTGTCCACTATTTGGAAAATATGCCATTTTTTAAGGTAGAAAAAACTCACTTTTGAAATGGTTGATTCTAAAAACCTTATTCACTTGATTTATACTAACAATGTTAGCGTTAGTAATAAGCGGAAAATAAAAAATTAAGGGTCCGCAATTTGTCTAGTTTATGTTTATACGCCAATGAGTCACACATTTACGCATACATATTACTTATTTTGAGTGACAAATTTGGTTTCTAACCTATTGAGGCACAATGATCACCTGAAACAAGCTCTATTGAGAATGTTACTCTCTATATAGTCATACTATCAGGCTTTTTTCTAAAAGTGTACTTAGAAAGAGATTGTGTTTATAAAGGTTTTTTTAAAAAGTTTAATAAAATAATTGGTTCCCAATATGAGCGTGATTAAACTTTTCTAGCCTTAAATCTAAATAGCAATGCTACTATTTAGAATATTTAAAGATTCTAAGATATATTATCGACTACATGTTTTTGAAACCAACCGTATACTATACTATAATAGGAATACCTTAATAACTATCAAATTAAATTTTTTACCAGATACGTGTATATACAGTAAAATTAAACCAAAAAAAATTTTATCGATTTGATATATGGGCAGCCGTCAGAAATCAAGCAAATCTACATTTGAAAAAAAACCAATGCCTTAACTTTCACAGCTCATATCTCGATGAATTTTAAAGCTATCTTGATGGCATAATATTCAAAGAAAGCTTAGATCATAAGCTTTCTTTTGAATATTAAATCATTAAGATAGCTTTAAATTTCATCGAGATATGAACTGTGAAAGTTAAGGCATTGGAGATTTGCTTGATTTCTATTGACGGCTGCCCATATAGTTAACTCTTTTTAAGTACAATTTTAACATGTACTATATATATTTTTTTTTAAAAAAAGTGTATTTATTTATTTTTTTATTAAAAAAATCTTGCTTTTATAAAAACCTTTTATATAGTCTTTATTTTTTAATTTACCGTATCCTGCCGTGAATAAGCACCCACCTTTTTCAATTTTCATATCCAAGTTTCTCATTATCTAGTGATCAAATCTGTACGATTTTGGTACCATTCGAATCGTTTCAATATGCTGATTCGAATAATACCAAAATTATACAGATCTGATCACTAGATCATGAGAAATTTGGATATGAAAATTGCAAAAGGTGGGTGCTTATTCACGGCAGTATACAGTAAATACTATAAAATAATTTTTATTTACTTAGTATTTTCAAGCAAAACTTGATAAAAAATTAGCTTTAAGCATGTTCGTAATGTGTAATAGATTATTATTATTATTTTTTGATATTAAGGTGATCTCTTTGTCAATGGTAATTTATTATCATAAGTATTATTTTGGTTACAATAAGAGTACATCAAGCCACACATGCACTTTTGGTGCTTAATTTAAGTAGTTCACCCAAAGCTGTAGTGCTATGCCAAGGGTTCTACACTATCTGCTATACCTGCACCTCCACTATATAGGGTACCCATTTAAACCTTCTGATTATATCCTTACTTCCACCAAGTGAGACTTAGAACTTAGGTGTAATCTTACCATGTATACCAGGATATTATAGATCTATGTGACACTACTAGATTAACAACTAGACTTAATTTATTCTTGAAGTAAACCTGCCAAAGTAGTACATTCTTATATATATATTTACTTGGATTTCAGTAACTTACATCATAGTTTAACCTATGCACTTGGGGTCAGGGCTAACTATTGAACCTCTATCAATATCTACTTTTATCTTTTTAAGGTTTACAATCTTTGTATTACATTTTATCACTTTTCACATTTTACTCCTTTTGGTATTATTGTTCTTTCAAATCCAGATAGCCCAGAAGAATTGGTCTGCCCAAACCTGAGTTTCTCAAGCTCAAGTCTAAAAATCTTCTAATTCTTGGTCTATGATTTTATAACATGTGATCTTTTCTTCCGAAGTTTTATCCTAGAGTCACCTTTAAAAAAGTATAACTGAAATGACTCTAGTAATCTTGGTAGCCAGGTTGGTAGATCCTTTTTGCCTAAAGAATTTTTATTACACAACTACTTCAATTTTTGAAGTTTAGTTGAATCTGTCTTGTAGTATCAGGTAGCACCTAGTTAGATCAATCTACTATTTTTTTAATTGGGATTTGCTAAGCCAGTTTCGGTTCTTTATGAGCTACTATAAGTAGGTCTTAATAATGTTCGATCTAGAAAGCCTTATCATAGGTTTGCACTATCTATACCAGTTTGCATTCCTTTGTGCAATAACACAAATATCTTCATGTCTTCCAAACTACACTTCAAGGTATTGTTGATATACTTTGGTTTACAGATATATAAATTCTTCAAAACTTTGCCAGTGGAATTTAAACTCAGTACTATAGCCAAACTAACTTAGGGGTGTGACAACTCCACTACCTTATATAATAGATTAATATAATTAACAAAATTAATAAAAAAACTTTATTTTAAAATTTTGCTTATATATATATAGTAACTGTTTTTGATATTCTAAAAAAAAAAACTCTATTTAAGATTTTGTTATAAATTTGTTTAAATCTTTTTTTAATCTAATTTTAATATTTAAAATCTATTTAATATAATATCTATACTACTAAGCAATACTTTTTAACCCTAATTATCTATTAATTTTACAAACTAACTACTTTATTAAATATTATTTTAAAGTAATCTAAATCTGGGCTTTTTATATTAAAACTGAAAATTTTAAGAATTTTTTATAATTTTATATAATTTTTTTTTAACTTAAAAATTTCAGTTAAACTTAATTTTATATAGTCATTACTAGTTACTTTATAAAATATATATATATATATATTTTTTTTAACGGCACTGCCTCTTTATTACTTATTACGGTGGAATATATACAAGTATATATTATTTTTACTAAGATTTTCAGTATATCATTGGTAACAAATTTTTAACTAGTACCTGTTATGCTGCCATCACTGAGTTCGTATCTCAAGCTATCTTTAAAGGCACTGCCGAAACCCGATCTGTATCTCAAGCCACAATCTTTCTAATTAGTTATCCTCTACCGCAGATGTCCCAGATCCCTTCCCTGTGGTGTTTCAGTTCCCAAATTTCTAGAACCATCTAGAGTGAGACGTACCAAACTTTACAGCCCAATATAGTCATGATTAACCTCTATTTACCTCACTATTGGTCAACACATCCCATGAAGTTTGCTTATCCCGACTCCAGGTGCCTCCGGATCATTGGATGGTGGGGTATTCCCATTTGCTAGATATCACATGTCCCACACATATATTTATCCAGACTTCGGCAACCTGCGCCACAGCTCTACCTATATACTTGGGGTCAGGGCTAACCATTGAACC